AATGTTTTGTCATGGTGAAATTGCCTGTGGACAAACAGCAGCAGCAGAAGCAGCAGGGCAGTGCTGAAGAACTGTCCCTCCTTCATGTGCTGAACTGTGAAGCAGAGAAACAAGAGGAGCTCTCAGCATCCTTCTTCCCTGGTGCCCTCTGGTGACTGACACTGCTCTCCCAGCTCACGCTGCACATGATCCTGAAACACAAACCAGCTTAGGGGCCAGGCCTTGGGGAAGAAAAGAAATAGTATTAGTAACAGTGTGCGATGTGAAACTTGGTGGTCTGGTTTATTTCCCTGTAGTTCATGCAGGCAGCACCACCACTGCTCTGCGCCAAAAATGAAGGAACAGCAAAAGAGCTTCTTGGAAATATAGAGAACCACCCTGGAAATGTAGGAAGGCTGTATCAGGAGAGGCTTGCATTAGTTGTGCTTTTACCACCATCCACTACATCAATATTCACACTGCATTAGCTTTGAAGAGAGAAGAGAGTGTCTGATCTGATGCTCAGGGTCATGCCCCACTACATCATCTCGTGTCCCTGTGGGATCAGTGCAGAGCTGGGGATGTTTAGCCTGGAAAAAAGGAGGCTCAGGAGAGACTTTATTGCTTTCTACAACTACCTGGAAGGAGTTTGTAGAGAGGTGGGGGTCAATCTCTTCTCCCAGGTAAACAAGTGGCAGGATGAAAGGAAATGAAAGGAAATGTCCTCAAGTTGTGCCAGGGGAGCTTTAGATTGGATGTTAGGAGAAATTCCTTCATGGAAAGAGTGGTCAGGCATCAGAACAGGCTGCCCAAGTGGTGGAATCACCAACCCCGTAAGTGTTAACAAAATGTGTAGATGAGACACTTGGGGATGTGGTTTAGTGGTGAACATGGCAGTGTTAGGTTGATAGTAGGACTCAGTCTTGGAGGCCTTTCCAACCTTATCAGTGTGCTTTGTGAGACAGGCTGTCTCCCATTTCTGGGAGCCCTTCAGACTGTTTGCAAATATCCCCCAACTTAATTTCTGCCTCCGGAAGCAGTGGGAGCACCTCTCCTCTGGTGTGTGCTGGAGCCAAAATAGCTCAGGGTTTCAAATAACCTGAGGTGGAACACCCATTGCCTGTAATTAGCACACCCCGTCCAGGAGCTGGAATGACCTGAAACTCAAGAGGAACCCAAGTGTCCCTAACACTTGGGGAGGAGGTCTGCTGGCAAGAGCATCTTGTACCTCAACAGCAGAGCAGCCAGAACTGTGATCTGGAGCTGGAAGATGCAGGAGTTGAAATCACTTAGAGCATCAAATACCTTGAGCTTTAAGCAGCTGGAGCATTTATCAGTCAGAGCTGTGAGAAACAGGAGCATCTCTAATCCAAACTAACTGGGGTGTCTATCAACTGGAGCCAGGGTGTCTGTCACCCAGGCGCCACATGGGTTGTCCTCTACAGGGAGCTCTACCCAGCAAGGAGCCTGGCCTCTTCTCTTGTGGATTAAATACATGTCACATGCTCCTCGCTGCATGAAGGGTCTCTCTCAGTCCCATTCCTGACAGCAGAAGTGAGATGAGGGGGAGCCAGGCTCTTCTGGGCAGCCCTGCTCCGAGGGGCCGCCAGCTGTGGCTGCAGGTGAGGTGGCAGCACAAGGCAGTGGAGTCCCCTCTGTAGCTAAAAAAGGAGAGACATCAGTCACTCAGAGCTCCTGGTGGCACACCCCAGAGACCCTCAGGAGATGCCTGTCCCCCTCCCTATCCAGAACAGTCACATCCCTCCCAGAAGGGCACTCCAGGAAGGGCATTTGCACAAACCCCTCAGTGAAGCAGGGTGCACTTTGCCCTGACCGTGTGCACAGGAGCTGTACCCACAAGCACTGGGCTGTCCCCAGCACTACACAGAGCTCCTGGCAATGGGGTGCAGCTGGGCAAGACCCCAACAACTCTTGGTTCACCTTTCCTGAGCTCCCTTCCAAGATCCCAGGCCCCCAAATATTAGGCACAAACCTCCTAGGAGAGGCTTTGGTCTGGGGGGCTGTGACAGCTCCCCAGATGGTGTTGAACCCCCTCTGGCATTGTTTGCCCCCCACCCATATTCATACAGTGCCAAGAGAGTCAGCAGGAACAGAACCAACCCAGCCAGCCCTCAGAGGGGATCTCAAGTGCTTATCCATCACCCACAATGCGGTTTTCCTGGTTATGCTGGGCTTCTCCCACCCTAGCCAGCAGCGAGAAACCCCCTCGGCAGCATGGCTGGGTGTGGGGCTGTTTGGTCATCACTTTGGGCACTCACCAGGCATTGCCTGCAGCTCCTGAGTCCCTTGACACTCCTTGGATGAAGTAGACACTTTTGCCTCTCCCCCGGGCTTGGGGCTGGCTGCTCCTGGCTCCTTGCTGCATTTCCACAGCACGGCCTATGCAAACCAAGCCCCATGAGGACACAAGGGCAAAGCTGTGTCAAGAAGGACCTGTCTTAGCATCAGCAAGGAAAACAAGCATCTTGGTCTCGAGGGAGGCATCACAAGAAAACCACAACCATCCTGGCCCCAGCAGGCTGGCAGCAGCCTGAAGGGAGGTGGAAAAGCACAAGGCAGGACTCCTCGAGCAGGAAAGGAAGGTTCAGCATTACTGACAGAAACGCCTCAGGACCCGGAAAATGTCCCTATTTCGGCCGAAAGCAGCCGCGGGGCGCGGGGACTGCTGCCAGTCCAGGGCTGACTCCGATCGGGAATTGCGGACACGGAGGTGCCTCCCCGGGGGGTGCTGTGGGCAGGTCCATGTCCCTTGATATCCCTGGGACGTGGTGCCATCCCAATAGCGCTCAGCCCGAGAGTTCCGGTGCTCCTGAGGCAGGACAGATGAGGGAGCGCGGAGTCCTGGCACACGGCGCTGGAGCAGCCTGCAGGGCTCTCACGGGAGAAGCGGGATCCCTGAGGAAAAACCAAGCTTGCTGCGCCTCCTTGTGTGCGCCAGGAGGGCGGAACACCGGCAGCAAGTGGCTGAGCCGTGCGACAGCCAGGGACCGCCCGCTCCGGGATCGGGATCGGGATCCGGGCAGGTGCAGCTTCGGGCTTTACCACTCCATGATGTGGAGCACCTGCCACAAGAGGCTTTTCCTTCCTGCCCGCTGCTGGCAGCAGTTTGGCAAGGATCGTGCCGGTAGCACCCTAAATAATGAATACACGTGAGTGATCTTAAGTACATGCTTGCTTTAGTAGTGGTCATTTGTAGTTACATCTAATGAAGAAATTCACAGAAACAAAACCTCTGTGTCCTCGTGTTTGCTCAGCAGCCTCCTGGCTGTTTCTGGCTCACTGTGGAGGACATGGGTAACTGTGGAAGTTCACGACTTTGGCCCCTGATCCCAATGGACCAAACTCTGCATGCACTGGAGGAGACAGAGACCCAGGGAAGAGATTCCATGATCAAGGACAGGCGTAGAAGGATGCCAAGTGGGAATGACTGTCAGGGAAGCCCAAAACAACCATCACTGTGGGAGAAGGGATGGGGACAAGGAGCATTTGTCAGTCAGGGAGCCCCATTCTGGGGACACAGGGCTCACTTGTCCCTGGAAAGAGGGGACCTCAGCACTCCTGGCTGTGTGACTTAGAAGTCCCGGATCTTGGGTGCTCTCAGCACACTCGTGGGCTCCTGCAGCAGCAGGGCTGTCACTGAACTGGCCACCTCAAGCAGCGGCATGTGTTGCGGACGGGGGCTCAGAGCCAGCCCTCAGCCCTGCTCTGCTGGCTGCGGGGGGGGAAAGGGGCAGGGATTTGGGACCAGCAGCCAGGAGGAAGCAGAGGTGACCCAGCACGCCTGTGACATCTGTTCCCACAGCAGGGACACTGCCAGCTCCCAGCTCCGCCTGGCACCACAGCCCAGTCGCTTTCCCCTGCTTCTCTGTGCGCATGTTGGTGTGTGTGCGAGCACACAGGGACACGCCGTCAGCAGCGGCACAGCCTCGCCCCTTCACACCGACGGCAAATGCAGCGGGAGTTGTGACGGTGAAAACGGGTAAGTGGAAAAGGCATTTTTTTAATAAATTCCCGTCCTGTCCTGCAGGTGCCAGCACAGAAGCACAGATATGACAGAGCCTCCGGGCGCCCTGCAGCCCTCTCTGGGCAAAGCCCCACCTTTCTCTGTTCAAACCAATAAACTTTAAACCAATCTGAGCCAGAACAACCCCAGTCCCAGACTTACCTCTTCCCTGTTTGTCACCATGGTAGGCAGTGGATAAACTTTTGCACCCCCAAGTCCCAGCTCTTCCACCCAACACCCACGAGCTGCAGGGGGCTGACCCACAGAGAAGCCCTTCCCGTGTGATGGTCTCTTCACAATGTTTGTGTGGGGAAAGCAGAGTGGCTGGGAATCCCACACTATCACCATCACTCCCCACTTGTGTCTTAGTGCTGGGGACAGTCCAGGCATCCATAGGGATGGGGTAAGTGCTCTTGGGCCTCCCTGAGCAGAGGGCAATGCTGTCACCAGCTCTGCACATTGGTGGTGTACACAGAGAAGTTGTTCCCGTAGGAGATTTGGCTTTTGTTTTATCTTCTCACTGAATTTTCTGGTCTGGCCTCATTCCAGTGTGGGTGGGCAAGAGAAAGCCTTATTTACCTGACAACCTCATCATACCTCTGGCCACACAGCCTAGAAAAGTACAGCACCCATTCTGATGCTGCAGAAAGACGCAGAGACATAAATAACAACACACAGGCAGGAAGACAGGCAGTGCTTTTCTTGCTGGCTTTACCAAGAGTAAAGGGGATCGAGCACAGTGAAGGCAAACTCCTCATGGCACACGTCCCAACATCTGAGGCAGCAGCAGCTCCTGCCTGCAGTGGTTCCACAGGGTGCACTGAAGACAGCAGCATCTGCAATGGGATAGGAGAGCAGGATCACCCTTTACTCAGCCATTACTGCTCCAGCACTGCTGCAAACCTGTGTCTGGAGTCAGGTGTCAGAGGAAAGGGAGACCCCGGGAAGCCAGTGGTGCTGTGCAGCAGTGAGACAAAGTAGCGCCAGCACCCCCAGTTTACCAGAATATGCCCATTGCCCTCCTCCGGTTGATGTCTCTCTTCAGCTGGCAGAGTGCACATGGGGTGCAACACCAGATGGAGCAAAAGTCTTGCAGGATGGAGCCCTGTGGAGCAAGGGACATTGCATGGAAAACCCCTTCCCACACCAAACATTAAACTTTTCAGCCTTTCTATTTTACATCAGCACCCCATCAGAGCTCACCCGGCCCTGCAGCATCCTGCTGCTCATATCCAGCAAGGACTGGGATGAAGCAGTGTGTGCTGGGATTCCCTCCAGCTCACAGTGGTGAGGCAGATATATCCCTGACTCCTGGCCAGCTGGGATGCTCATGCAACTCCTCGCCTCTGCCCTTCCCCTTGGGCACCCCTTTCTCCTTCCTTGAGCCCCCAGCTCAGCACCCATCCCATGGCTGTTGTCGCTGTTGGGACAGGCCCCCAAGCTGGTCACTCACTGGGATGTTGTATCTGGTGCGGTAGAGGGTCCTCATGGCCACACTAGAGCCACACAGGCAGCACTCATCCATGTCCCCAGCCACCTGGCAGTTCAGGCAGAAGAAGCAGAACATCCCACAAAGACCTGTGGGACAGTGAGACGTGGACTTGGCTGACAGGTGCAAATACAGAGGGGGAAAAGCCAGCTGAGAGCTGTGGCTCTCGACATCAGGCAAGAGCTGCTCTGCCTCCAGTACCCATGGGAGTGGGGTTTGTGGCAGGGGTAATGCTGCAGGAGGAGCAGGAAACACATCACAAGCAACAGCAGGAATGAGGGCTATGTATGTACTCACAAACACCGCAATCGGAGCAGCAGTCCAGCAGCCCTGTTTGCCACTCCCCTGGCTGTTGGACAGCTGAAAACTGGGGTTGGACTGTGATCACAGTTTGAGAGGCCATTGCCAGCACGGGTTCAGGTCCCTCCAGGCAGTTTGTAGTCTGGAAAGAAAAGCCATCAGAGGAAGATTCTGCAGGTGTTTCTGAAGTGGGCGTCTTGCTCAGGCTGCTGCATTCAGAGAGAGTTCCTTGGGGAGTCCCCACTGCCAGGGTAATGCCACTCTCACCACAAAGTGGGGGGCACAGCTCTGCCAGAAGCTGCCACTACCTTCTGAAGGAAAGCCCTCTCTAAAACCAGTCTTCCACCAAAGGCAGCAGCACATCATCCCTATGCAAGTAAAACAAGTCTGTAAAAACAAAGGTCCTTCTGCTTCAGAACTGCAGTGCTTCAACACCTCAAACTAGTCTTTTCATCTCCAGGTCATCTTTCATCATTGCCTGCGTAAAATCACATAAAAATATCTGTGTAAAATTGTCTGTGTAAAATTGTCTGTGTAAAATTGTCTGCATTTTGGGCTGGTTTTGGGGGGTTTGTTTTGTTTTGTTTATGATCACGGTCTCCCAAAGTTACTACTGCTCAGTTCTAGTCTCCCCAAGCTCTCAGGAGCCCTGCCGCCAGTTCCTATCCTTCCTCCACTTAACTGTCTGTGCCAACACGTCATCCTCCTCTTCCTCACTCTTGTGGGGTCACCATGGCCTGTGGAGTTCCTCTCCATCCCTTCCTTCCTCAGCAATGGGCTGTGTTCTCTGAGAGTAGGAAAGCTCCTGCTCCACAGTACCATCCCCAAAATCACTTGACCAAAGTAACAACTCCACCTGCACCTCCATCAGTGGCCCCTTCCCTCCCTGCCACCCCTGCAAGGCACAGGACCAGCTTCTGCCACTCTCAGTTTTGGTTTTGGAGCTTTCATTAAAACAAACAAACAAAAAAAAAAAAACCTGAGGATTCTCCCACAGAACTCCCATGCAGACACACTCCCTGCCCTTTGCTCAAGCTCAGCACCACTTTAGAGGTGACTGAGAGAGTCACCTCTAAGAAGATTGTTTTCACACCAGAATTGCACAGTTACACAAAGTTAAGTATTAAATGACCCAAGAAATGGGGTGGAACAATTACTATGCCCAGCACTCAGACTATGCCATCGAGCTCATCACCTAAATCAGAGTGGCACTGGCTGTGGCACTGCATTTGCACTGACTAATGGCAACAGGTGGCAAAGGGTTGCTGGCTCTGCTGGAAGCTCCTGTGACTCCCCAGCATAACAGACACATCCCAGCTGTCAGAAACAGCCTGTTGCTGTAGGATGAGCCCTTGTTCCTGGCAGTCCCAGGAAGAGGAAGAAGGTTGTTGAATTACGGTGTAAGAGGGAAGAAAGCTGGTAAAAATCTCCACATGATTTGCTCCTGACTTTTTGCAGCTTTCTGCAGGCAGTGGAAGCATGGCTAGGCTGTCCCTATCTGAGACACCTGTGAGTGCAGCAGGGGACACTGCATCCATTGTCCCTCTCCGGACACCTCCTGGCCCTGCCTTGGCCAGCTGTCCCTGTTTGTTCACCTGTGAGATCTCAGGTAATTCCCATCCCCGCTGCAGTCAATGTAACACCTCCCGGCACACCAAAGCAGCAGCCCCTTCAGGAAGCCTTGTACACAATGATTTAAGAAGAACCAGGAGGGGCAGGGGAGGAGACAGACCATGGACAGGCTGTGCAGTGGTGAGCCCAGCATGGGGCTCCCATGCAGCGACAGGGATGTTCAGCAGCAGGCAGGACCACAGGGACCACAGGGAGAATTGTGCACAGGAGCAGCAGCAGCAAGAGAAATTTTAGGGACAGGATTCCTCCAGTCAGGCTTCTCCTTCCTCTCCCCAGGTACGAGCACACCACATCCCTGCACAGGTGGTGGCTGCAGTACAGAGCAGGCAGCAGCAAGGAGAAGCCTCTGCCACACACTCACCTACTGAGAGATGGGCCAGGCCCAGCAAAAAAAATGTATCACAATTTCACAATTCACACCCCCACGGCATCACCAGCCATGCTGGAATGACTGATGGGGACAAAAGCATCCTGAGGTGCATGCAGCTACATTTCACCAACAGCCAAGGTCATAAAATTGTATCTATAGGCACTGTATGTGCACAAATACAGTGCACTATATGAGCAACACAGTGCAAAAACTGCTGTCCTCCACCTCTGTTCCCCACATCTGTCATCAGCAGTACCCACCACACCGTAGTTAACCCTGAAGCAGCTTTCCAGGTAGAAAATCTCACCTTTGCTTCCACCCTTTCCCCTTGCCCAGCATCACCACTTCAGCCACAAGCAGCTTCCATACCATCACCAAAGCAAAGCCATGCCACACGTACTTTCCAAGCTGTCCTTGTCCCAGCAGACACGTCTCCTTTTCCTGGTTCTCATGCTTTATATGTGCTCTGGCAAATGACCTCTGCTCCCTCTGACTAACAGAGCAAATGGTAGCTTAGGCGCAGCTTTGCACAATGGCAGCTTCCCTGCCTCATTCCTGCTGCCAGCCCTCACCTTTCCCCACCCAGTCGCTCTCCAGGCCCAGAGCCCTGGTGGGAGAGGTTTTCAAAGAAGGGCAGTTTGTTTCCAGGCTCCTGTGCTGCCCTAAGCCATGTGCTGTTGGAGGTGCAGCACCTTTCCTTTTCAAACCTGAGCATCTGCAAGAACTGTCTGTAACTGCACTGGGTGACACAGGAGCGGCCTTTCTCAGGCTAAAAATGCATTTTTCTGCATTGCCAGGGATCATCCATCTGGGTTTAAGCAGTTGGGAGTGCCATCACACCCACCCACCCCTCAGCACTGCAACTACTTGCCATTAAAAAGTTTTGTGGTAAAGGTGAAGGTAGAGTGGGACAAAAAAATAATCATATTCTCCTTAAAGAATGAAGCTGGGAGGTATTTGCAGGGATCAAAAGTCCTTTAGCATTTCTCTCGAGAGTGATGGAGAGAGGGTGGATGCAACCTCCATCTTGAGGATGGGAATGCAGGGCTCACAGCCCAGTGCAGACAGATGGGCTGTGTAATGCCATGCAGGAAGATGGCACTATTTGTCCCTAGAGAGGACACAGATAACCCACAACCCAGACATTTTTTTTATTGCAGGTGTGGAGGAATTCATGCTCAGGGTCCATAGCTCTTCAGCATCAAGGTGAGCTGGTGCCAGGTACTCCATGCCTTTCTATTCAGAAAGGTGTCACTCACCAACAGCAGAGGTCACTTGACTGCAGGAAGACCCAGCTCTGCCCTGCAGCAGGAGTCATTTTCCCAAATTTTAAAACTTGGATGAGCAACACTGACTCCTTCAATGTATTAAATATCCTTTCTAATAGCTGATCCAATAACAAAATACTAGTGAATATTTCTCTCTCTGCAGCAGGCACAGGGAAATCTCAGCTACACCAAGGGTTGCTGAGATGGATGGAGCAGGAGAAGGATTGGTGCTCTCAGGTGGTGCAAGAGTGACATACACAGAGGTAGGAAGACAAACTCAAAACTTTATTTCTGCAATTAAGTAGAGAAAATCAAATGCAGTCAAGGCAAGCTCCACATGGTGCATTTCCCAACAGTCAGAGCAGTGGTGACTCCTGCTTGGAGCAGCTCCAAGGATGCAGCGAGGATGGCAGCATCTGCAACAGGATAGAAGAGGAGTGTCAGGACTGAGATGTGCCTCACCACACTCTGTGTATTGCCCCAGTCCTCCCCCCTCCACCCTGCACAAGGTCCCCAGTGACATTTTGCTTCAGGACATGTCACTCTGGTCAACTGTCCATGGTCATTTCCCCACTGCAGCAAACTTGGTCCGGTGTCAAGATGTTGGCAGGAGAGGCTCTGGGAAGCCACCTGGCTGCATGTGACAGCAGCTTTATGGATGAGCACCACCATCCCTGGCTTACCAGAATATGCCAAGCTCCCTCCTGCGGTTGATGTCTCTCTTCATTTGGCAAACAGAGCAAACAGTGCACCACAGGGTGACACAGTAGTCAGAGCAAATGGACCCCTGTTAGGGAGAAACAGGTTAGGGAACAGAGGCTTCCCAGAGACCACGTTCCAGCCAAGAAAATGTTAATAACATTCAGGTCAAGTACTCTTTTCTTCTCAGCAGGCTGCAGTATCCTGAGTCAAAAACACTGAAGCCTTGGGCTGGCAAACCCCAGGAACCATGGAAAGGAAGGAAGGAGTCCTTTGTGCAGGCTGCAGATAGCTGCTTATCTTTTGACTTCTGAGGTTCAGACTGGGAAGAAAAATGCTTACAGGAACAGACAATGTAGGGAAAGTGAACTTGGGACCCTATGGTTTGCCCTTGGGATGGCAGCAACCACCTCCCCTGCAGGAAGAAACACCCTCACATATGCACTGTCAATCTTTCTCCCACACCTGATTATGGATCTTTATCCATGTAACCAGCTTCACCTATTCTTTATTCAGCCCACAGTTATCTCAATCAAAGCTCAAAGACGGAAGCAGCAGCTGAGGTGGGTATGAATGGGAAAAAAAGGGGGAGTGGAAATCACTGCTGTCCTGAGCCCCTCCCTCAAGCGCAGGGAGAAGGGCCTTGGGGGCACACTGTCCTTCAGGCTGGCAGCAGCAGGGTGAGGGGGTAGGCTCACACTGACCGGGATGTTGTATCTGGTGCGGTACAGGGTCCTCATGGCCACGCTGGTCCCACACAGGCAGCACTCGTTCATGTCCCCAGCCACCTGGCAAGCCAGGCAGGGGAAGCAGAACATCCCACAGCAGCCTGGCAGGGGAAGAAACACAGCACTGGCTGAGGCTCTGCCTGCCTGCCTGGCAGCACCGGAGCAGCTGGGAGAGCCAGGCTGCCTGGCTGCACAGTGGCACCACCGAGCCAAGCAGCGGGGGCAAGGAAGTGTGTCCGAGGCACTCACAGACGCCACAGTCGGAGCAGCAGTCCATCAGGCCTGTCTGCCACGTGCATCTCGAGACAGAAGACATGGCCCCGCCAAATTGTGGCTGGATCGTCACAACGGTTGGGACAGCCATTCCTAGGCCCTTTTCTGAAAGAGACATGAAACAGGATAGTCAGTGAAAAAACCGTGGTTGGTCTGAACCTCCGACCAAACTGGTGGCTACCACCCTTCAGCAGGCCTCCTTTTGCCCAGCTCCCTAGCTGCCACTGGAGGTGACAGAGCATAACCATATCTTGCCTGCATTTCTATCTGTTCAAGGTTTTTGCATTATCTGCCATTTTATCCAGCCTTCAAAATAGCATCAGGCCACTGATGTTCCCCACTCCACTCCATAAAGGCTTTGCTAGTGCTTAGACATGACTCATTCCCCTTGTGCTGAACTGGGCTGGGCAGTGAACCCAAGCTAAAAGGAGTGACTTGGGCATGTTGGACTTGGTGTATTTTACACAGCATGGGCACAGGGTATGTGGGAAGCACCTGTGGGCTCATTTCCTCATAGCAAAGCCAGGCTACACACAAGAGAGTAGTACAGAAAACTCGTATCTCCAGTTTCCTGATGGAGGGAGCCAGGAAAAGAGAAAATCAATGTCCAAAGTCTGAAACACTCTCCTTGCCTTTATGTGGTTAAGCAAGCAAGTAAACCTTGAAAACCAGTAAACCTCAGGTCTAAAATTGGAGCGGTGGCCGGTGGAAAGTAAAACACAGGATGAAATGAAGAGGCGACCCTCAGTTTTTTCAGGGAGGGTGGTTTTATCGGTAGGGAAACGTGGAGTTTTTCGGTGGAAGAAGCTGAGAGCCCCGAGGCAGGGAAAGCCTCGGTTTTACAGAGGGTGGGAGGGGTGAAAGATAGCAAATCAGAGAGGGATACATTAAGGATTGGCATGATCGGAGAACCCATCAAACACAGTTGCGGGAGGGACCCTGGCCCCTAACCCAATCACCCGACATCCTGACCCGAACCTTCTAGAAAAAGAGGCAGGGGTGTCGAGTGACAGGCAGGCTGCCAGGGGTGGGGAACAAGAAAGATAACCGAGACAACTGGGGAGGGGTTTGGGGATTGACACAAACTGGTAACAGGGCAGGACCTTCTGAGAGAACAATGGGGGGAAAACTGAACAAGCATAAAACACACCACAACATAAAATAATAATAATGATGATGATGATTATAATGATAGTAGTAAGAATAGCAACAAGAGCAATTTCTTTCTGCTTCTAATTCCCTAGCCAAGTAAAAAAGCACAAAGTTTTTCTAGGTAACAAGTCTAAGAAAGTTTGGGGTTGGGTGAGGTTCTCTGAGATAAGATAAACTGCCTGCTCACATTTGTTGAGGCTGCTTTTCTGTAAATTGAGTGGATTTATTTTATGTCTTAGAAACAGTAGTTTCACAAAGGCAGACCCACCCTACTGGGTGCTCAGCCTCCTCCTCCTCCTCCTCCTCCTCCTATTGCTTCTGAGCTCAGAAGCCAGAATAGAAACTGAAATGAAGGAGTGATGCTGGGGGAGGGGGAGCACCTTCTTTCCCGATCCTTTGGAGTAACACGTGCTTCTCGAGAAAGCCCACTCATGGCTTCAGCTGGCAGCACACACCAGTCTGCAAGCCCTGCAAGAGTGCAGCTGGGGGTAGTATCAGGTGTGTGTCCAGAGGGAAGTGCAACACCTCGGCCAACCCACAGCTTCCCTCTGCCTGGCAACAGCAGTGCTATCCACACAAGTATTATTCACCTATTTTCTCCTCTCCTAGCTGCCAACAATAATGAAGAATTTGAAGCATAGCTGCTCTTGCCACCAACAGCACACCCCACTGAAGGGACAAGCAAGCACACGGAGAGAGCAGGTATCAAAAGCCATCAATATCCAAACTTCTGGTAGGGCAGCTCAGTCTAAACAGAGAGTACTGAGTACCAGTCAAATTCCTTCAACATATTTATGCAATTGTGTTAGCATCAGACAGCAGTAAGAAAAGGTAAACTCTCCATAATCCAGCTTTTGCACACAGCTTTTTAAAAGCCCCCCCCCCCCCCCCCCCCCCAAGTAGGATTTGCCAGATAGTTTGATTTATATTTTGTGCTAAGCAGGAAAAAAGAAAAATAACCCCTGCTTTGACACTATTATCCCACTCTTCCCAGGCTAACAAGTTACTAATATTTCCATGCTTTTAGAGAACTTACCTGGTGAGCAGCCTTGCCTCCTCTCCCTGCACAAAGAGGCTGTAGCAAAGATGAAACTAAACTTACTCCCTCGGATGTTCTTATTGGCAGACAGCAGTATAAAACATACAATGAGTGGGAGGTAACTTGAAGGGGGAGGTCAGGAGCTGTGCCCTGTCCTTACAACCACAGACTTTACAAGTGCAGAACACAGTGATTTATTTTTCCTTTTCCCAAGATTAGTTATTTCTTTTTTTAAAAAAAAAATGTTTGCATGTTTATGGTCTTATTCCCTTTGCCCACATGATGTTGCTGCTCAGGGAAGAGCAGTTCTGAATAATGTATTTTTATCAGAACAGACATATAGGTTTTCATTTCTTAGAAAACACATCCTGCATGGGGAGGCTTTCCATAATAATTAGGCTGATTCCCTAAGTGCTTGCCAATGGCCATGTAGCCCAGCCACTACAGTAAAATTAACTGAGCAATTACCATACACACATAAATTTCACTTCATAAGATACTAATATTACAGTTTCTACACTAACATGCCCCAAATACGTAACCACTCATGCCCCATGCAAGACAGTTTTGGATGCTCTTCCAAATTTTGTGGAGAATCTGTGGCACTAGCACAGCACTTTTTGTTTCCCAGCAGGATGCAGATAGCATGCAGAGATCCCAGAGAGGGTCTGGGTGGCTGTTTCTCGGGAGCAAGTCAAGTTCAATGCATCCCATGGGAAGTGCTGATTCCCTTCTCTCTTGCCCTCATGAAGAATGGGGAAAGGAGACGTTTGGGCTAAGCTTCAATATGGCAGCTTTGTCAACAGGCTGGGACTCAGGGGGCTTTATGTGAAGGCTTTTACCAGTAGTGCTGCTGAGAAAACGGGGAGATGTGCCTTGAAATGCTTCCCTTGGCTTCCAGCAGCTCCAAAGTTTAACTGTGTCTGTCCCTGCTTTACAATGGGGCTGCCTGGCCACTCCCTGGCTGGCTCATACACAGCTGGTGTTTTTTGTAAAAACATTGCAATAGGCTATGAAAACTGAGGTTTGCAAAAAGTTGTAAATCAGCAGATTCTCCCTGGAGGAGGAGATGCCTGACATCCCAGCGGCTGGCTGGATGAGGCTCATGGCCTAGGAGTCTGCTGGGGAGGAGGGAAACAGGAAGTTGAAATGCAGTCAGGTTTTTTAGGTGGTAAGAAGGAAAAGCTCAGAGAGACCTCAGAGCACCTCCCAGTACCTAAAGGGAGCTACAAGAGAGCTGGAGAGGGACTTTTCACAAGGGCATGCAGTGACAGGGCAAGGGGGAATTGCTTTGAACTGGAGGAGGATAGGTTTAGTCTGTATTACGAAGAAATTCTTCATTGCTAGGGTGGTGAGGCATTGGAATAGGTTGCCCAGCAAAGCTGTGGGTGCCCCATCCCTGGAATTGTTCAAGGCCAGGTTGGATGGGGCTTTGAGTAACATGCTCTAGTGGAAAGCATTCCTGCCCACAGCATGGGATTTGAAACTAGATGATCTTTAAAGTCCCTTCCAAACCAAGCCATTCCATTTTTATTTCTAAGAAGACAATGGAAAAATTCCACTGAAATCAATACGCACCAATTTAACATGTACTACAGTAAATGCAATACTAATGAACATTCAGGAGCACAGATTTTAAAAAAATCTCCCTTAACACCTTTTTGCTTTCTCTGCAAAGGACAAAGTATGGATTACACAGTCTACCTCTGTACACAGTCTACTTCTGTATTTTATGGAGCAGAAACTCATCTATTCCAGTTTGGGCCACTCACACGTAAAAGTTTGTGCTTGTTCTCTGTACCACTTAAAACAAGTCCAACCTGCAGCTTCAAACATGACCACAAATGAGCAAAGCCACTTTCCCCCAGCATGCTGCCTTGAACTATTTACACAAACTAAGGTGTCTTCAGTGGTAAGAGGTGTGTTCATTCACAGAGGGTCCATGAATCCCACCGGTGTGCAGGTCAGGGGGCTGTCTGGCACAGGAGGGTGCCTGGGGGCCTCTCTCCAAAGCTCTGGTCCCACCAGTCCTTTCCAGAGACAGAGTTCTGTTTCAGACATGGAGCAGGTCTTCTGAATCAGAAACTTCACCTTTTTTCTAGATGTCTCCACAGCTTCAATGGAAGAACATGTTACCCACAAACCTTGCTCTCTTCCCACAGCATGAAATGGCTCAGGCAGAAGGGAAGTTCCTGCAATGGTAAAAGCTGCAGGAGAATGGAGCTAAGTGCAAGGGAAAAATTTCACAGCCCTTAGAAATATAGCTGAGGGTCAGTTGCACATCTCACCAACACTGAAGCCATTGCAGTTGGTACAAGCAGAGAGCTGCTCCCATGTCTGCACATCCCTCATCTCTCCCATGCCAGAAACACTGCACACAGTGGGGAGAGTCTTGGGGGGCTGATCAGACAGGAAATGATGCTATGGCTGGGAGGGTGCAGTGCCATCTGGGCAAGGGGCCTGAACCCCTGTGCCACAGGCACCGAAACATAAAGTCCAGCACACAGTGAAGAGCTCACAGCCAGGGCCAAAGGATACCACCAGCTTCACAGCCGCTCTTAGTCATAGCTGGTCAGACCTAAAAGTGGTTTCAAATCCCTCTACAGTTGCATGCTAGTGCTAGCAATGGTTCATCACAAGAGGTTTCACACATCTTGTGTGAGAAAGACATCACAGATCTTCTGGCTGAGTTTCTGCTTGCTGTGGCTTGCTACTTTTTCATGCTTTCAGTGGTGCCACTCTTTCTCCAGGTCACTCAGACTTACAGGATAATGCTCTGTGGGAATCAAGCTTTACCTCAGGAGCTCACAAGGTAAAAAACAACTAAAGTAAAAATCAATCCTCTTGTTACAAACAGATCGGTCCAACTTATACATTTTGTATTCTGCTGCTTCATTAACTGCCTAAATCTCACCGAGTTGCACCTGCATGCAAGCAGAACTACCAGAGGGTGCAAGCGTGGATCTTCCTGTACCCATCCCCATCCCCATAGAATGGTGGGAAGCAGGAGAACCTCAGCAGTTCAGCTGCTCTTGGGTCAGCTCCAGAGGCTTTCTGGAGTAAGCTGACCCATGGCTAATTTCCAGCTTGGACATGTGCTCTTTGCCTTTTCTATGGCAGTTTTATCCCAAGCTGACAGCTTCCTCCAGAGCAGAGGACGATGGACCTTCCCTTCTGCTGTCCTTTGTGTCTGCACATGCAGTGTCCTTGCTTTAACACCTGAGCAGGAGTGAAGTGAACAGCCACACAGGATGCATCATGAAGTTAATCCAGCATTAACCAAGGTATTAGCAAAAGGACATCCAACACACTTTGCAACGGTATTTGATGGGTGTAAAGTATTTTTTTAATGTATTGATGTTATTTAGCAGAATAAATTGTACTGTAGATTAAAAAAGGCCTTTACTACTTAATAATAATGATGTTTCTTAAGACAGATGGGAGAAGGTATTGAGAGAGTTGAACCAGAGAGATGATGTGCAAGATGGGGAAGCTGTATGGCTCCACACCTGCTGCATGTACATGACCGCAAGTCCTCTTCAAAGGAGAGCTTTGCTTCTCTATGACAGTCTCATGACCCAACATTGCTCACCCTGATGGAAGGGTAGGTTATAACCTCTGATGGAAGCTCCCCAGCAGTTTAACCTCCATTTTTCTGACTTAACATGTCATAAATAAATCAGCACTGAGCAGTTCGAATTCTTGAAGGCAATTTTTTGCCTCTTGCTTCTCCTCCTGCCAGTGATTTCTCAAGCAAATCCCAAAGAGAGCAGATAACAACACTCACTGCCTCTGCACCTGCCACATGTGGATGGTTTCCCTGTGTGCATGTCCCAGGATGTCCCCTGGCAGCACAGCATCTCACAGCTGAGCTGAGACACGGGAAGGAGTGAGGGAACACTTCCCCCATCCTACCCAGCACATGAGAAAAAACCCACCAGCAGTAGTCCCCAGGTACTGCTAGCAGCGGCCCTGATGTGGAGATCATATTCATCAGAAAAAGACACAATAAGGGAAGGGACTGTGTAGATGCCAGAGTCCTGCTTGGGGTTGAGCAACCAAAAGTTTATCACCTGTCACCTGGGAGAGGAGGCATGCACTGCACACCAGACCTTCAGCCTGCCCTTTACCTTGCCAAGAGCAACCTCAACCCCACCGCTCCAGGGACAGCTTGTGCATACATGGCCTTGGCTTTCTGCCCTGCGTTTTCCTCCCAACAAGGAGGGAGGCAGGAAACTCCCACCCCTAATCTAACAGATACAGTCAAAGTGACACTTAACTATGATCTGCCAAATCCTTCTTTTACTGCCTTGCTGCACCCACTGGGCGGTGTCATGCATGCAGAAGTGCAGGGGAAAAAGGGATCATGCGAACTCTAAGCAAATAAATTCAAGGTGCCTTCCAGCAAATGCTTAAAAGCACAACAATACTGCATGTTATGGCGTACATATGTCTGTGCTTTCCTCCATTTTCCTCTCAAGTACTTTTATTTCCATTTATACATATTCCCTGAAAAAGTGATTAATATCATGACAGAATTTGGGGAAAATAAGCTCTGATGAAGCTGAAAATCTGTTTGACAAATATTTGGCTGTGCTGCAGCATGAGAGGCAACAAAGATGCACACAGGATTTTCTACTAAGCAGCCACCTAAGTGGTGTGGTTTCACAGTGTTGAAGTGAACCTTGAACAGTGAACAGTGGTTTCACCAGTGTTGAAGTTTCTCTCCAAAGCAGTCCCCTGGTGTTTTGGATGTACTGCTGCTTGTGAGGTTGAGCACTGAACAGTAATAACTTGAAGATAAAATGATTCCACTTCAATATCAAATCACAGAAAAACATTTATGTTGGAAAATAACTCTAAGATCATTGATTCCAGCCACTAATGCAGCACTGTCATGTTCAGCACCATGTCCCCAAGCCCCACAACCTCACATCTTTTGAACACTTCCAGGGATGGTGATTCCACCACTTGCCTGTTCCCATGTGTGACTGCCATTTCAGTGAAGGAATTTATATCCAGTCTAAACCTCCCCTGGTGTAACTTGAGGCTGTTTCCTCTCCTCCTGTGACTTGTTACCTGGGAGACGAGACCAACTCCCACCTGGCCACAAGGTCCTTTCAGGGAATTGCAGAAAGTGAGATACTTTACATTCAGAGCTGAACTCTGTGAATGCTTTGACATCAGTGCAGGAAAAAAATAAGGTCCTGTGGAATGGGCAGGCCACCACTTTCCCCCACTGCCCTTACAAACTGTTACAGGCTTGGGTCTGTTCTTTATGCCATTGATACAACTTATTTTATATTAGGTATATTTTATTTATTTATTTTATTTTGTATGAGGTGTATTTCCTTGTTACTGTACCTGTCACAGACAAGCTCTGCAATTTGGAGGAACTGTGTTTTGCAGGCATAAGAAGTCAGGGGTGGCTTTGGATTTTGTTTTGCATTAGGATGGGAATTTCCACCCCAAAAATACAGCTGTATTGTAAGAAGCATTGAACTTGGCATGAACACTGTTCTTTTGTTGTTGGTTTTTTTTTTTCTGTTTCTTTGAAGTGTATTAGGCCTCTTTCTGCTTTATTCAGACAAAATCACTTCTGTACAGCTGCCTGGAAGTGGTATTTTTTTATGGTTTTTTTAAACACCACCATCCAGGCAAAGAAAAATGCTGTAAAACCAATGAAGTTTTTTTCTATTTCTTTTGTAATTCTTGTACTGCATCTAGCACACTGCAATGAAATTTGCTCTGGCCTTTTGCCTCCGTCACAAAATGCAGGAAGGCATTGCAGGAAAAGCAAAATCACCTCTTCAGTATACCAGGAGCTTCAGCTAGTACCTAAAGTTCTCATTATCCATGGCCAGCTAAGATGCACATTTTTTCTTGGCAGCTTTCTTTTGAAGCTCAGAGCCTCTCTCCTGGTATTTGCACTGTGAAGTGTTTAGAAATGAATTAATAACCCTCTGCTAGCTTTTGCCAAAGTGGAAATAGAAAAAGTGTTGTAGTGCATTTTTATACTTTGTAATACTTTGAGGTAGTTTTGTTTTGTATTCCCATATTTTTCCCAAATGGTTTATCCCAAACTGTACCCCCATCCCTTTACCTGTGTTATCCCTCTCCCGGGATGAGATCATCCCCAAACCCCCACCCTGGCTCTCTGTCAGTCACTCAGATCCCATCCATCCATCCAGAAGTTTTGGTCCAGGTCGTCGAGTGATTAGCCAGAGGCCAGGGGTCAGCCCCCCAAGCCTTGCCCCATACGCTGTCCTATATGTCTATCCCCCAGTACCCATGCCTTAGAGTCACTTATTGGTTGGTAAAATGTTATCTACTTTGGGTTTCCACCTCCCTTTAAATGTGACCTTGGGACATCTCCTGGGGCTCTCGGCAGGAGACCCCCGGAGGTGCAGGAGCTCCTTTGGGATCCTAATAAAACCTTGGATTAACCCCTGCTAAGAGTCGGCCCTTTCTCTTCTACCGATGTCTCTGGTGTCTCTTGTGCTGCACAGGTGGCAGCAGCACCCTCGGGGCACAGAGAGTGTCTCCCTGCTGTCAGCCCAGGTGCCCTCAGTACCCTCGGGGCACACACAGACAGTGTCTCCCCTCAGCCCAGGTGCCCTCAGCACCCTCGGGGCACACACAGAGAGTGTCTCCCTGCCAGCCCAGGTGCCCTCAGTACCCTCGGGGCACACACAGACAGTGTCTCCCTGCCAGCCCAGGTGCCCTCAGCACCCTCGGGGCACAGAGAGTGTCTCCCCCCAGCCCAGGTGCCCTCAGTGCCCTCGGGGCACAGAGAGTGTCTCCCCCCAGCCCAGGTGCCCTCAGCACCCTCGGGGCACACACAGACAGTGTCTCCCTGCCAGCCCAGGTGCCCTCAGTACCCTCGGGGCACACACAGACAGTGTCTCCCCCCAGCCCAGGTGCCCTCAGCACCCTCGGGGCACACACAGACAGTGTCTCCCCCCAGTCCAGGTGCCCTCAGCACCCTCGGGGCACACACAGACAGTGTCTCCTCGCTGTCGGCCGTGTCGGGGCTGCCCCCTCCGGTGTCTGCCGACTTGGGACTGGCCCAGGGCTCCTGAGAGGCTCGCAGAGGGACCGAGACAAAAAGGAGTGCCTTTTTTTTCCAGATCATGTCACCCGTGGCTGGTGAGATGCCTGACCTACTGCCATGGTGTTGCCAGGCTCCCTAGCAGGCAGACCAGATGGCACAGGTACTCTGGCTGTTCACACAGCACAGCTCCTGCAGCACATATCTGGGAATAGAGGGAGGGAAAACCCTGACTTGCCCCATTAACAGCATTATATTTACCAAGAAATACTAATAGCAGAACTCAGGCAGAGTTTGCCTTGGCTGACCCTCCTCTGACAAGTCTTCTCCCTGGGAAAGGGGAGTGTGAGAGCTCCCAGGTGCCACTGTACAAAACAGGCTTCTAAAGCAAAGATCCAGCCCCACCCTGCAGGTTTCCAATGCCTTGGCAACCTCTCCCTTTATCCTTGCAGGAGATCCCTTACCACTATGGGGCTAATCCTGGACAAAGAACTGGTGCTGCTTTGATACACCCTTCTACAAAGTGCAACACACAGGCAAAGGCTGATGTTGGTACTCAGCTTTCTGTTTCACTGAGCAGTGTTTCTTTCAGTTTGCCACTGTTAGGGACATTTGACCTTTCCGATGCTGGAAAAAAGCATTTGTTATCTCAACATCCTGTGGAGGAATATTGGAAAAGGATGTGTGGGAGAAAGGCAATGATAGTGGAGAAGAAACTTCCAGAGGATGTTGTTTAGTTCTGCAAAAACATGCTAATAAAAGCTGATGCTTAGAGACACGAGTATTTGAAAACTTTTTAAGAAACTGCATTCAATTACAGCAGAGAGCATCTTAGTGAAGATTTGGAATAGAACACCTTGGGAATGAAGGGAGGAGATGTACATATATCTGCCAACAGATCCAAACAGGAAGGTTTTAGCCAGGAAGCAACTCAGCCTTTATCTCTTTTGTGCTTAAAAATTATTAATTTCTGTGTATTAACCATAAAATGCTCATGCAACTAACATGCTCGGTAGCCTTTACCTCTTTTGCACTTGAAGAATTATTTATTTCCTTGTGTTAATCAAAAATTTTTCACTAATTTAATATCCTCAGATTACAGCCTGGAACCTAAATCTTTCTGGTTTTCAGGCAATGAACCTAAAATACAGCTATGTCTTATCTGTGTGAAATGAAATTAAGATGAATTTGGAAAATTCACACAGAAAATATAAAGTGATTTTCAAGTTCCAGACATGAGGACTATTTTGAAACTTTAATTTACACTGTATTTAGCGACATCTTTTTCCTCTTCTCATTTTAAGGCAAACACTTGTGACAAGCAGCCATCAGACAAAGGACACCAGAAGGTACAAATGCATGACAAAATGTGAGCTCTTCCCAAATATGAGCTACTTAAAGACGCTTCAGTATGTTAAAAACAGATTAATAACTTTTGCCACCACCTCACTAAAGTAACACTACTGAAACCGATCCATACTAGTTACAAGACTTTTTAATTACTAGTAAATGGCTAATAAGCAAAGTTCAACTTCAAGCTGGATGCATCAAAATTCTCCCTCTACAAAATGCAGCTATGTCACAAAACTGATCAGAAGCTTATGGCTTTTCATTATTAAACTCTTTTCTTCAACTTAGTGCTTTCTCCACCCCACAAATACAAACCCTATTTAAGAACAACTTCTGTGTAAGCACCATTTAGTTAGCCTGCACTTGCTATTTTTACTGTTTCTAGGCGTTCCCCTAGAAACAGGTTTTTCCTGTAAGACTACAAAAAACACCGGTAGTCATAAGTCAAAACAAGCAGAATTAAAAAAATATGTCAACAGTTTACATGATGAATTTGTAGCCCACGGTCAACCACTGCTCACACACGTTTGGCAACAGCTCTGGGCTTCTCTGTTTTTGTTCAAATCACTAGTCTGTGTTCAAATCACTCTTGACAAACAAGCTTAGCTCACTCTGCGCAGGCAACTTTGCAGAAGCCTGTCCTTTTCACATGGAAAGCACCTGCTGCAGCAATCACAGCAAGAGCAGAAAATCTTAAATACTTCTTTACTGACTCCTTATTGTGGACCTCACACATTTAGAGTCCTGACTGTTTCTAGACATCCCAGAAGAAAAACGGTTATTGCAACTCCTCCATGAAGCAAGCTCCAACTCAAACTGAAAATTACCTTTGTAATAAATCAGACCATCAAACATGTACAGCCAGATTTATTTATTTACATCCAGAAATCATTTTGCATTTTTACCCATGCTGTCACTAAGAGACACCTGTTTCATATAAAATCTTGGGTTCATAGTCTAGAGAGCTTGACAGAAGTTTGCTGCTACTATGCAGGACCAGCAGAGCTTTTTGGAGCTCACTTTTTGGAGCTTGTACGCAGACTGAAGTTATTCCCAGATAACCAAAACTTCCACTGTAGAATTATCAAAATTGCATGATTTCAGAAACAACGTGTCCACCAGCTTTTATAAATAAACAATATAAAGCAGCTATATTTATATTACAAGTGTTTTCCTTACAATATCTACACTTCAGTTAGACTAAAATATCAGTATAGTGATTTCAACTATCTGTTCTCTGAAGGCTCTTCTACATTTAAGCCTTTTCATTTCCACAGATTTCCAAGCACAATCCCTATGAAGAGCAGAATTCCTACAGTACGATTTGAAGCAAATTTTTTCCAACAGTCTTCGGGCTTGTCTATGTCCAAAGTGTAAATCTGCAAAAGTACAGTATAACATTAGAGGATTATTATTATTATTATTATACAGATTCATAAATATCTTACACATCACAAAATTATCTGCAACTTCAAAAAATTATTCTTAAGCTCTAAAGTCTACCCTTAACTTCACAAGAAACAGGAATACTCTGCGTTTAAATTTTTTTTTGCATAACTGGCATCTGTGTTTGACAGATTCTTTTCAATATACAGCAGAAAAGTCAAGGATCTCATATGAACATGATTCCCAGACCATCTCAATGGAAGACTATATAAACAGCCCAGTTACTGGTGTGTCTGGATTGATACTTAAAAGTGCAAAAATATCTGGGCATGTAAATAAATTTTGAGATTTTCCTCAGTAGGTTGCCACCTAATTCTTCAATGTAACTTTAAATAAAAATGAATGCACTTTTCCATCTCTGCTACAAGGTGCTGTTCTATGTTTCAGTAGAGACAAGGCACTGGAGAGCCAGCAGCGAACCAGGGCAAGTGCCAGACCCTGCCTTGCCACACAGGGCTGGCTTCTGTCCAGTTGCTCTTAGCCAAGTCCATGCAATTCCCTTCAAACAAAGACCAGGACACCTGCAATAGCAGCCAGAAGGCCTGGCTTACCCACATGGTAGCTCTCTGCTGTGAGTCACAACAAAAAGTGGGAAAAAAAAAAATCCCAACTCACAAGGTACAGCAATGGCAAATTTACTGAAAAAATATTCCCAAAATCAAAATTTGGTGCAAAAGTGTTGAGCACGATAACAAGAGGAAATGTTGAGCAAAATGAGTGAAAGGTTTAACAGAGAAGGAGCCCCAAAAACCTCAAACATTGCACTTCAGCCTTTGAAAAAGTCAAAATAGAAAGAAGTATGTGACTGAAAGAAGTGAAACCTTCACCAGGAAATCTGCTTCATTTGTGGTTGTAGAGAGAAACTAGGGCTGGGTCCTGGTCAAATAATCAAAAAAACTCTTCACAAGCTTCTCAAGTATGATGTGATCCACACCCTTAAGAACCTGTCAGCTCATCAGACACTGGGAACTTGAAACACTGAACTGGCAAATTAAACTAAACAGCAGCTAAGCTATTCTTTCAGAAACACATGGAAAGTAGAAGATGTTGTTTTTCTATTGGCACACTTCTTGAGAGGGATACAATTTGACATCATCATGACCCAAATTTTTCTGCCTCAGGCAGAAAAAATTCAGTGAATCAAGGAAATCTTGGAAATCCTGATCCTCGAGCATCTTACTCAGCTTTCTAAACTCAGTTAAGGACACAATCAGAAGTCTTGAACAAGAAGATAAGCATAAAAATGTTTAACCAGGACTATATTAAAATAATTCCTCAAAAATAAGCTACTCTGTGGTACACAGAACAGTTCTGCTCTTTTGACTTTGGCAGTCCACACAGTTGTGAATTTCCCAATATTTACACTCATTAGTCTGCATCCTCACTTATAAAGATCCTTAAAAATGGTTCTCATTTATGACAAAACTACAGCACAAAGGCTCTCTGACAATTCAAACTGTAAATGATCATGCAGTGGACATAGTATTCTTTTCCTCATACATTTCCAAGCACAGTCACTGAAAACAGTGGCTGAGTGCCAGACTACATCACCACAAGGATTCTCTTACCCAGTGATATGTTTAATATCCATTACCTGCATGAGCTCCACCCATTCAAATGCAACATTACGATCAATGTGCTTTATAAAAAGTTCCACATTACCATTCCAAATTTCGCTTCTCAGACTAGCAATGGTTTTACTACTTGCAATACACAATACTCTGCCATCACTTACCTATCAAGACCAGCAATCAATTTTTGAATAGACTGACTTGTCACTTACTACAACACTGTGTAACACAGTTGTTAGGATTCAGAAATAACAAGATAACAAGATCTTATCTGCATCCTTTACTGACAAAGCTAATCTCTTTCTTTCTGTTATTCATAAAAATTTCTAAATTTTTTTGAATGCAACTACAAGACTGAATTGGATTGTTCTCTGCTTTTAAGAGAACTCTTTAGAACTGTCAATTAGCATTAAAATTATAATGTTAACATCTGCTATTATGTGTGCCAGACACTGCAAGAACTGAATCAGAACAGTCAACACCACAGTATTTTGCAGCACACTGAGGTGGATCTAGCAGCAGCTGCTGCTGGCAGTGAGAAGAAAACCCTTTCCTTGAGATCACAGCTTAATGTCTGGCACTTCTCTTGGTTACAAACAAACTGAAACTCAGTGCTCCACTGTTTGTGGTCAGGACTGAAGGTGTCCTCAATCAAAAGGTCTGCAAAAGGTACTTCAGAAGACCAAGCTTATTGTCAGAAGACTTTAGTTCTCTTTAAAGGAACTGCTTTTCATGGGTAGCTCATTAATTGATGGGAGTTGAAAAGCCCTCTGACTTCTTAGTAAGAACTTCCTCATGGAAAAAGTATGAATAAATCCATCAAACCTGGTGTGCCAGGTGAGCCCCTACGGCAGCCACAGCCGAGTAATACGGGAGGGTTTGGTTGCAATTCATCCCTGTCACACACAAACTCAGGAGCATTGCCAGGCTAAAGCCACTGAGCCACTGCTTTGTGTCCTTCTTGAAATGCAATGCAGTTGACTTCACACCAATCATGATGTCGTCCCTCTTATCCTGGAATGAAAAGATGAATTACCACAAAATCCATAATCCAATGCCACTTCATAAGAAAAATAAAAAAGAAGAACTTGCTTAAATTTTCTATGCTTCTTACTAGGAGCCCAATTTAAGGGCGGTTGTAGGTCCCCACACTAAAATTTAAACTAGAAGGCTGGTCTTAGAGCTGTTTAGCAGCCAGGAGTTAATACCAATGTCAAAGATATTTCCACAATGCTAAAGCATAAGAGCACAAAGGGTATTGTACTTCCATGTTTCCACCTGACTTGTAAAACCTTGGCAAACGGCAATAAAATTTTGAAGGGCTGGGACTTCTTTGGGGCTGCTTCAGCTCAGTTGCAGGTGAAGAACTGCAAGAGGTGAGGTTGGTTCTGCTGTTTGACAACAAATTTGTAAACGAAACACACAAACTTTTAAACACGGGTATCTGGAAGGTTTCACAGTCACCCTACCTGATGTGCATAAATGGTGTCATACACCAGTGTCCACATGACTCCAGCAAAGTACAAGGGCAAACACACAGACCACTCACATGACCCTTTGATGGCAGACCAGCCAAGAAGGGCTCCCCAATTAAATGTAAATCCTAAAAACATTAGGAGAATTAAAAAAAATAGAAGTTACAAGAATGCCAGCAGCAATTAAATACAATTTATCAGCAACCTTTTGTATAATACCAACATCTCTATTTTTCTACCACTTACTTTCAGGCAGGTAATAAATATAAATAATTTGACACTTAAGACTGTGGACATGCAAGAAAAAATACATATACCACACATTTTTCCCTAATTTGAGTTTGACTTCATTAATGTAGGGAAACATTTGCACAGAACTATTCCAGAATACTCTAACAACAGGTCTGAAGGTAAAATGCTCAGGTGTCAGTGTAACAAAACATGTCAGGATAACTGGCTGCAAAACAGTACACAGCAGCCAACTACGGTACTTCTAGCCTGAAAATGACAATTTTTGGTTAAAATCAAAGCTGAAGACAGCTGGAATGTGAGAGCCAATATACACAGGTATGTTTTAGTAGCTCAACCCAAAATACAAGCACCATCAGTATCTGTTCAGGAGTTATTTTAGAAGCTGAAGACTGAAATGCTGTACAGACAAATCTGTATTTGAGAAGGGTTTTGAAATAACCGCAAAACTACAGCTCATTCTCAAACGACAAATGTTTATTTCCACCCTACTCTTCTACCTCCTATCACTGCATCAAAACAAGGAACTGATTTCTAATAACAAAAAAAATCCAACCCCAAAGCCACACATCAACTCCAGTGCCTGTCATAAATTAAGAAGCTTGTGGCCCAACAGAGCTTTGTCTGTAAAGTATTTCTATTTTGATATAAAGTTATAAAAAGTCAGATTGCTAAAGCTCAAGTACTAACTTGTAAAACACCCCAAAAACTACATCTGAAATTGAAAAAAGAGAGAAAATCTTTCCATCTCACCTAAAACTAGCTGTGGCCAGTATGTTATTCTCTTCATCAGAGGGTAGGTGATCACAAGGAATAAAGAGGATGCTCCCAGAATGATACTGTAAAAAGTACCAAGAGAATTATTGTTTGCCAGGCTAAAGATCAGTAGACATAGTGCAGCATTGCAGGAGCTGTACACGGTACTGATCTAATTCTTTCCTTTCAATTACAATTCCATGACTATTAACATCCTCCCTCTGACCCCAACACCTTTTCTACTCAAAATCTCTGTGCTTAACTCAGGACCAAGAACCAGACCTTAAAAACCAAAAGACAACTCATACATCACCTGTAGTAATTCAGACACAGAAGCACACAGAGTGCCAGGCTGAGTTGTCCCCCGAGAAAAACCAAGGACTGGAAAGTTGAGATATCCCCAGCTGCCAGGGGTCTGCTTGCTGTCCTTGCAACCTAAAAAATGGAAAAATTATTACCACTAGGTACATCTGTAACTGATGGGTAATTTACAATGTTTTTTTTCCTATTTTCAAAGAGAAACGAAAAGGTCCTAATTCTGTTGTTTGCTTTTGCTTCTCTCTAATGGCATTTTCAGAATCCAGTCCCATTGATGTGGAGTTAATAGCTGTGAAAAGACATTTAATCCCAACTGGGATACAGTGGAATTTAGAAACTCTGTTTGGAGCAAGAAATTATACAAGGTAAACTGAAGACAGAAACATGTAACAGAAAAAAGTTAAAATAAATGGTGAATACTTGCCAAAGGTTACCAACGCCAAAAAAACTCCAAATGACTGAATTTCACCTCAACATGAGGAAGAACTTCTCTACACTGGGGGTGGCAGAGCACTGGAATAGGCTGCCCAGGGAAATTGTGTAGTCTCCCTCTCTGGAGACATTCCAAACCCCACCTGAACATGTTCCTGTGTCACCTGCTCCAGGTGACCCTGCCTTGGCAGGTTGGACTGGATGATCTCCAGAGGTGCCTTTCAACCTAACAATTCCATGAAATTGTGCATGTTGATGAAAATGGTGTCAAGTCTATTCAATGAGGTTCAAAAGCCAACTTTTACAGAATATTCTGTACATAAAAAGTATCTTGCCTATGTTTGAATAATGTGAATTTAAATAAACTCTTTTAGCTTGTTCTCCCCTCTGCCATCAGGCTATGCTGACATCAAATACTGTTTTTGGAGCAGTAAACATGCACTTAACATACCTGTGACCAATTCCACTGCACAGTGCAACCAAACATGGGATGCTTCACTTAAAGAAAGTATGTCCCAAATAATCAGTAACACAAAATCTAAACCCCAAACCACCACCCCGTACACCATCACCAACCAACTCCTGCTGTTGGCCTGGCCTCCATGGCACCTGTGCTGAAGGAAGCCTTTTAAGGTACCCCAGAAAAAGGTGTGAAGGCAATTTTTAAAACTTTCTATCTGACCACATCACATAATGCACAAATTAAACCATTATATTGAAATTCCCTCTTACTTATCACATCCCCACATCAAATCTGTTTAGCATATGTAGTTGTTAACACCTTCCAAACCCTAAACCATCCAAAGCTGCCTAAACCCCATTCTGATTCCCTGCCTTTCCAACAGCACAAACACAAGTGCCATACTAAGAACCTCACATACTGGATTGGCTCATTATTCTGTGTCTTGCAGGGCTGAAACCCAAACTCCAAAACCACAGGAGCAATACAGGAAAAAACCAGGAGGAGCAAACAGAATCACCAGGATGCTTCCCTCCAAGCCTGAACGTGTGCACGTTTCAGAATCTCACACTGGGCACTGCCTTTTACTTATTTCCCTCTTCTGAACAAATGGGAGATGATAAATGAAAACATACAACATAACAGAAGGAGATTAGCTCAGGGCTGGGCATGATACTCTGAACAGCCAAAATTAAACATACAACAATAAAAGGAAATGCTGCTCCTAAAATTAGGGGGGAAAAAAGTCATTCTTGGATAGATTGTCACTAGCAAGTGTAGCAAAAAAGTGTTATTTGGTTTGTTCTATGGTGCAAAACAAGGTTGAAAAATAAACTTGTTCAAGTCCTGCCTAAAGCAAACAACAGCATGTATTTTATCTTACACAGAGGTCAGTATTCTAGAAGACATACTACAGTCCTGGACAGAGAAATAAAATACTTTCAACTGTTTTTGGAGGAAGTGTAAACAAATTAATTGCGTGCATCTCAGACGGAAACATGGAGGAATTCCTGAAGCTGGAGCCTGCACTCATCAAGGAATCACTAGTGATGTTCATGTACTTCAGTGCCTTTAGAATCCTTGGTGTGTGGCTGAGAAAAAACAGCATGTGTTAAGTGGAGTTTCTCTCCCTGGAGACATTCAAAATCCATTTGGATGCGTTCCTGTGTAACTTGCTCTAGGTGAGTTGGCCTTGGCAAGGGGGTTGAGCTAGATTATCTCCTGAGATCCTTTTTCTAACCCTAAAAATTCTGTTGATTCTGTGATGATGGAGATGAATGGGCACATGCTTGGTTCTCTGAATCACAGAAGGGCTTGGGCTGGAAGGGGACCTTAAAGATCACCTCATTCCAACCCTCGTGTTGTGGACATGGACACTTTTTACTAGACCAGGTTACTTGCAGCCCCATCTAACTTGGCCTTGAACACTTCCAGCGATGGGCCGGCCTAAAACTTCTCTGGGCAACCTATTCCAATGCCTCACCACCCTCAGAGTGAAGAACTTCTTCCTAATATCTAATCTAAACCTGCTCTTTCAATTTGAAGCCGTACCCCCTTGTCCTGTCCCTGCACGCTGGTGTAAGCGGCCTCGCCCCATGGTTCGCTACCTGTCTGTCATAGTCGCGGTCCCACATGTCATTGATGGTGCAGCCGGCCCCTCGCATGAGCACGGCTCCCACGCCGAACAGGGACAGCATGCGCCAGTCCGGGAGGCAGCCGGGCGCGGCCGCCAGCCCGATGCTCCAGGTACACGGCAGGTACAGCAGCCACGTCCCTGCGGGGAGACAAAACCGGCGGGCGGGCTCAGCGGGGAACGGGAGGCCACGGGGGGCCCGCGGCCCCGACCCTCCCCGCCGCGCTCACCGGCGGGCTGGTGCAGGCGCATGAGCCGCAAGTACGGCTGCAGCGGGGCCGGCGCGGCGCGCACCAGCTCGGCCGCCGAGAAGCTGCGCGGCCCCGGGGGTGCGGCGGGGCGGCGGAACAGCAGCGGCGGGGCGGCGGCGGCGGCGGCGGCGAGGGGCGGGCGGGCGGCGCGGAGCCCGAGCGTGTCCCGGAGCCCGGGGACACCCCGGCACAACCGCGCCAGCAGCGCCGCCGCCATCTTAGCGCCGCCCCGCTGCCGGCGGGACGGAGTCTCGCGGCACTGCGCATGCGCGGCGGCCCCGGGCACCCCGCGCCGGGGCTGAGGCGGGGCGGGATTGGTGTGCTCTCAGTGAAATCCTCGACCTCGAAACTTAACGTGATCGCTCTTAACATTCGTGTCATCTCCAAGAGCTTTCCTCACTGTAGGTAATTAAAAAAGAAAAAAATCAGATTTCCCATGCGGCCTTTGTGTCTCTTCTCCTCGCTCACTCAGTTCTCCCACCATCTGTGTGAGGGACTGAAATGCTGGGGGTTAATGATTCCAACAACCAGCGAGTTCCAAAAGCAGCGCGCTCTTGGCTGAGGCCGGGTTTGCACTCTCCGAGCCGGAGGGGAGGAGGAGAGGGCTTGGGATGTGTGTTGGGAAATCTCAGACTAGCATAGGAGCAGCCCGGGTGGCCGTAACAAACCCACCTTCGCTTAGCAGCAGGGGAGGTACCTGGGCATTCCCACCTGAACCAGACTGTGTATTAACCCATTGAACTTCATGTTTCAGGGGCTTCCGCCACCCCTGATGGATCAAGACTGCGATCATCACACATGAAAATTCAATGCATCAATTAAGTCTTGTTGCTGGGTCTACAGGTGGTGTTATCTGTGCAGAAAAATTCACAGCACCAGAGGTTTATGTCCAAAAAGGAGACAGAGAAGTCCTCTGTCTTTATTCCAAAAAAAAAAAAGGGGGGGGGGGGATGGGCATTCTCGTGGCGTCTCTCAAGTTTTTGGAGGATGTAGCTTTCTTTTAATCCTATGTTCCCGGCCACATGACCCTCTTCCTTTACCCATTGACTGAGGTACTTGGGAGGTACAAGCTGCCCAAATCACCTAATACAAATCTCCTTCTAGTATGCACACACACCCCACACCCCCCCAGTGCCTATTCTTGGTATCTCTAAGTCCAGGATTTTAATACGGCCTTAGATGAGGAAGTCTCAGTCTGAAATTTATGGTTACTCCCGTTGCTTCTTTCACCTATCAGCATCTAGCTTTTCCTACAGGCATGCTCACAGTTTGTAAAGACACATTCTTCTCATTCCCTTCATATCTTCCCACTGTCTTGTCCTTTCTCTTTCTTTTCCTTATATATTTTCTTAAATTCTATCTTTATATTTTCTATAGTTATATTTCTATTGATAATACCCAAAATGGCTGCATACCTCCTTTCCATCGTTCTAAATTAAATTCTGCTATACATAAACACTGGTCATTCATGTGTCATTTCACTCTTCTCTACCCCAAGGGACCCATTAACAAGAACCTCAGTTACCTCACCTTCAGGGTCATAGCACCAACCAATGAGTTATTGCACAAACCAGAGAGCAGAGGACAGAACCATAAAACCTTTGCTTTTCATGGCATGGTTTCAGTGTCTGTGTCCTCAGATCTGCTGCTAAAAGATTCCTTGGGGAGTTCATTGTCCCTCTAGAGTATAAAATCTTTTGCATTATACAGTTCCTTCAGCTTGAATGACTCACACACTGGTAGAAAACAATGGAAACCATTTTGAACTTTAATTTCCCAAGATGCTGACTAGCAGGAGGAAGTGAAATATGAATGCGATTCAGTCCCCCGAGGTTTACGACATTCACAGAGGAATAAAAGCCCCAGAGATAAGGGTGGGGCAGGCATTGGTCCTGTGAGGGTGATGTTCATGTCTGTTTCAGACCATAGCTTCCTTGGAGTGCTGGGATCCAGCATCTTTCCCAGTCCCTTCACTTTTATCCCTCTTGCTCTGTTTGTGTAGAGCTAACAGTAGCTATTAGCTTGATGTGCAGTACTTTGTAAAGAGAAAGGTAGTTACTGAGCTGTAAATCAAACCTCCCCTCCCCACCATCAAGAACAGGGCTCAGAGAGGAGACACGGTTGGCAGCAGCTGTCATTTGCATGCACAAACATCCCGGGGCCCCTCCTGACAGTTCCTGTGTGCCAGTCAGCAGCGCATGTATCACATCTGAGTCACAGTGGGTGGACGGCTTCTGAACTGGTTGGCAAACACGACTGAAACACACCAACCTGTGTAGGATTTCTTTCATTTTTGTGTACTTGGGTACTCTTATTGATAATAAAAAACAGCACAGGTAGTTATGACCAAAAGAAAAGTAGGGAGTGTCCTGGTGTCAGCATGTCAAAAAGGAGTCTTAAAAAAGATTAAGATTGCCAAAAGTTGGTATAAATTGCTTTAATTAAAATCTTCAAATACAAAACTCACAAGCATTGGAATAAACAACATTTTTAGAAAAGTTCTAAAAAGAAGCTACCAGGCAAATAATAACTTTGATGTTTTAGTTGCAACTTACATTTTTACAATAATAATAATAATATATTATTAACTTTGTGTTGACTGTATGTAAGACTTTCCATCTTACACTCTCTTTGCTTCTGTTATGGAACTTAGACAATGTAAACAAACTCAGCCTTCCTCATTTCTGATCTCTGTCATTCCCTGATACATAACCCTTCACAGAATGCATCTGCTCCATGGATGCACAGACTCCTTTGACACACTGACACATAACCTTTTTAGTGTGCAGGTTTTCATCACAGCTACAAAAGTACATCAGTTTTGAAAGTCATCTCATTAAAAAAGGTTCCCTGCCCTGCATTAAACCCCATGTAGCTAGTAGCATCTTTTTAAAGCTTAAAAAGGGAGGTACAGTAATGTGGGGTTGTTCTTCTCTGCTGTGCTCATAAATATAAGGCATTGAGAGTGGTGTGGGTTACGTACCTTCAAGAAAAGTAGATGCAAATAAATATATGCAGAAGGCCTCAGCTTCTCTCCTAGGCTTTTTGTTGCCCTGGAGATCAGCAGCCTGTGTGCCACAGGGAGCTATTGCTGGCACAGCCAACTGCAACAGGGTGTGCATGGGGAAGGCTCAGCTGGGGAGAAAAGCCACCACCAACATGGATTTCTGTCCAAAATCACTGTTTTTCCAGTAGGAAGGATGTCAGCCTGACTGGGCACTTCTGTCCCCAGGATGCTCTATAGCAGCTCTGGTGGTTGAGGGGTGAGTGGCTTCCTCGGCGTCTTTCCTATCCCATTTCCCCATTACAAAAGAGACCTGGGTGCATTAGGGAGTGTAAAACAGAGAGAGCTTGAGAGCTTTACCTGTGCATAGGTTTAGGAAAGTCCTTTGCAGCTCAACTGCCTGCAGAGAGGTGCAGGTTGAAGAGTCATGAGCACTCACTGTGCAGCCTCCTGAGCACAGAGGGTTATTGCCAGGGCCTGGTGGGCTCCTCTCCTTTTCATGCAGGGAAGAAGTGTGTGATGGCAGAAGTTGACCACCCTACAGGAGCAGCCTGCATTTCCTGAATCAACAACTTGCCTTTGGAAAGCACAGAGCCACAGCTCCATCTTGTGACTGAACAATCCTAGCTTGAGAAAAATGTGTGTTGTCTCCCCAAATCTAATAGAGGATCTGGTTTCTCTGCAAGGCCTTTGCCCCTGCAAGCACCCTGACCTTGGTTTGCTTTGTGTGTCCAGACTTTCCAGCCCAAGATACCCTCAGCAACCACAACCCCCTCTCAGGCTTCCCCACCTAGTGCGGGGTCACAGCTGTACAGCTCAAATAAAAACTCTGCTTATCCTTTCTGAAGGCAAGCTTTTGAAGAAACTGCTTTAGGAGCTGTGCTTGCAGAAAGGGGAGGGAGAGGGGAAGTTGCAGTGCCTGGGTAGGCAGAGCCCCAGGTAATGTGAGAAAGTCCCTGCGTGATGTGGAGAAGAGTTCCACGCTCAAGCACAGTGACAGGCTAGATCAAGAGCAAAACCAACACCTGCCTGGTCTTGTTCTACCTGGATAATTCTCCTGGAATCTTCCTTGTACCAGTTACCCAGTGGGACCTTAGTCTTCCCCAGCTAACAGTTGTACTACTGCTGCAACATTTTCATCCTTTACCAGAATTAAATCCCGTGATAGAAATGTGAATTTCTAGGATTAGAACTTCCTACTAGGCAAATGCTTTACATTTATCCTGAGTGTGTGTGTTGACCACTTAAATGCAAGCAATAGCTTTGGCATTTTTGATAACATAAAAGCCGTAGGAGAAGGCTGGAAGGCCAAGCAGTGTGCCAGGACCAAGGGGCTTTTCCATAAGCTCTGGCAGTGTTTCATCATCCAGCATCCGTAGCACATGGCCGTTCAGCTCAATAGACCTGGAGAGGGACAGAGAGACTGTTTGGGCAGCTGTGCTCTGTTTGCCATCGAGTACAAACTGCTCTGGGCCTGAGTGTAAACATTAACTCAGCCCAAAGCCAAACCAAACTTCCCTTGAATGTGTGTGCACACACACACATACACACACACACAGACATCTGCAGAACTCCCACTACAAGGACTCCTTCAGAGTGGTAGCACAAGCACATTTAAAAGTACATTTCTTTCTCTTCCAGTAAGGTCAACAGCTAAACAGGCTTTGAAAAGTACAAATTTAAATTGCTTTTTCTCCTGAAAATATTAATATTCTTTTTTTTTGCCCACAGAGCAGATCTTTTCCCTATGGATGCATTAACAATGACAACAAAAAGATTCCACCCACATACAAAGTCTGAACATGTTGCTGTAAATCAGGAGCTAGCACTTGGGAAAGCAATATACCTGTGCTTGTGCAAAAAGAAAAAAAAAAAAAAACAAACCAGGACTGGTCCAGAACACTGACACCTGCTAGGATAAACTTCCAAATTAACATCAAGTAAATGTCCTTATAACTTAGTAAGCTTTCAGCAGCCTGAGTTTAGGAGACCTGATTTGACAGAAGTCAGATCTTACTGAAAAAACCCCAGATGAATGAATGGTAACCTCTTCTTTCCCCTTGCAAATTGAATAAGGTGAGGTTTTAAAGACCATCTAAGCCTACTCACAGTCTTTCCGCAGGGACTGGAGGAATTGCAACTTACCTGGAAAGAATATTCTCTTTGCCATGAGGAAGTAAGAGGTACTGATCCACATGCTTGCTCAATAGGTA